CGGGGCCGCGCGGGCGTGGGGGCCCGGGGTACAAGCCGCTGGCCCAGTTGGCGGAGGCTGGCAGCGGGACGTAGCGGCTCATCTCGCAGTGTGGCGCGGGGGCGTCCCGGGGGTACCGCCTGAAGGCCGCCTGGAGGGCGCCCGTGGGGTCTGTGGGCACGGAGAAGGGAGGTGCAGCTGTAGGGTCACGGCCGGGAACGGGAGGCGTCCCGGCACAGACTCCCCGGTAGTGACAGGTAATCCGGGGTCATACTACGGAGGGGGAAACTGAGGCCTGGGCTCTGCGAAGGCGGGGTTCCGGCGGAGGCGAGTCCGGGAAGACTCACCGTGCACGTTGAGGTAGAACTTAGGATCCAGGTCGGGCCGGGGAGGCGGCCCCCCGGGTCCCTGGCGCAGCAGCAGCGCGGCGGGTCTCTTGGCCAGGCTGCCCGCGACCGGCGGGCGGGACCGCCGCGCTCCGCTCCGACCCTGTCCCCGGGCGAGGAGTCGTGGGGGTCGCTCACCCAAAGCCACAGCGAGGAGCACGGGCAGGGGCTTCATGGCGCTGCGATCTTCTGAGCGCCTTCTGAGCTCCGGAGCCGCCTCTTCCCCCTTTCACTTTCACTTTCCTCCAAGGGCCGGCAGGAGGGGCGAGGAAATCCCCGCTCCGCGTAGGTAGGGCGCGTGGAGATGGGCGCGTCCCCACCCGCCAGGCAGCAACCCCGGGGCGTCCGCTCCAGTTCTCAGGGCATCTCAGCCCGGCCGCGCCTTCCCGGCCCACCCCCTAGCTCGAAGTTCGAGCCCTCCCCAAACCTATGCTCCTCCTCCCGCATCCACTTTCCGAGAACTACTCCAGCTTTCCCCGGGTGCCCGCAGGTGGTGCCGGGTCCCCAGCAAACACATACGGGTTGTCAGGAAGCCAAGTGAAATGACCAATAAATATTTTAATTATTGTTAAAAAATAAAAACCTTGTACTCCTACGACGTATTCCCTCCCGTCTCCACCCACTTCCCCAAGTTGAGAACCAAGTTGGGGATCCCCACGGGAGTGGGGTGGGGATTGATAGCGTAGAAACCAGGGGCCTATCCTTCGGGAGGGGGCAGGTTCTAGGACAAGGGTGGGGCTCAAAGGCCGGGTCCCCGCAACGACACAAACACAAACTACAACCACCACCAGACCCTGCGACTTCACACTCGACACGCCCCCTCTCCCTCCCCCCCAACGTGCGCCCTCTGTGGAGCTGGGGCGCCTTGTACCCATCAGAGGGAAAGGAAGGATTGGTTTGGGGCCTCTTGGAGGGGGAGGCATGAGAAGTGGAATGGACTGGCGACGTGCGCTGTGGTTCCCTCTCCACGATATATACAAGTCCACAGAGATAAAGGAAGACAGTAAGAGTGGCGACACAGCACCCGGGCCTGGGTGCCCCCGAATCGAACTCGCGATCCCCTCTTCCCCACAGGCCAGCCCCAATAGCTTGCCCCTTCAGTTTGCTCCTCCGCCCCCATTGAAGCCCATCTCCACCTTGTGGACACGTCTGCTGGATGGGGGTGTGGCCCCACTCGCCTCGTCCCCACTGCCCCCACCCCCTCCGGGAGACTCTCTCTTGGGCTGCAAGGCTGGACCCGCGGGTGCCCCGGCTCCAGACCCGGCCCCGGCTCCGCCGCCACCCAGGCGGTGCCGGCGCTCACAGTGTCCCCGGTGTCGCATGAAGCTGTCTCGCCACATGAACTTCTTGGCGCAGACGCTGCACTCGTAGGGCTTGAGACCCGTGTGCGTCTTCATGTGCTCGGTCAGGTGGTGCTTCATCTTGAACTTCTTGTTGCACACGGGGCAGTCGAAGGGCCGCAGGTTGAGGTGCATGTTCACATGCCGGTCCCGCATGCTCTTGTGGGAGAAGGCCTTCCCGCAGTGGCACAGGAAGATCTTATTCCCGTCCCCGCCGCCAGTCCCTGCAGGGGCCCCACCAGTGCCGCCTTGCACACCGAGGCCCCCCGCTGCCGTGCTCCCCAGCGTCACTGCCCCATGTTCCGCTTGGGTCCCTGGTGGCTGGCCCAGAGCCTGAGAGGAGGAGGACGACGACGGGAAGACCAGGATCTGGTTGCCCTGCATGTCCAAAGGAAGGAGGGGCCTTGGAGGGTGGGAGGGGGCATAGGAAGAAGGGGTTGGTCCCCCAGAGTCATCAAGTCCAGTGCCAGGACCCCCACCCTCGTAGGGGCCGAAGTCGTTGGAGGACTCACAGAAGTTGACCTGCTCCTCCCCCTTGTCTGGAGGCTCAGTCAGGGTCCGGACATCGCTGATACTGAGGGTAGCCTCAGGCCCTCGCCCCATTGGAACCCCGGAGCCAGCCCCCAGCTCTTCATCCTCATCATCCTCACAGGTCAACACCAGGTCTTCCTCCTCCTCTTCCTCCTCTAGGTCTGGGTCTTGGGGGACCAGGGGAGCAGGTGCTGGGCAGTTTGCACCCCGCTTCACATAAACCCAGTGCTTCTGTGGCATGATGCTAGGGGGCGTGTAGGTGGGCCGCCGGAGCCCAGCCCCAGGGACCACCGCGCCCCTTCCATCCCCCCCATCGTCACACAGCTCATCTGCCTCGAGCAGCAGCTTCCCAGAGGTGGCGCCCCCGCTGCCCACCACCGGCGCTGGAAATACAGGGCCGCCTCCTCTCCTCTCCCCACTGCCCACTGCAGAAGCCCCAAACGTCTCTTGCGATGAGGATGAGAAATCAGTGGACTCCCGGGGGCTGAAGTAGTTGCTGCTGCTGGGAGACTGATTCTCACTAGCTCGGCTGGAGGCATGGGAGCGCACGGACCCCATGGTGGTCGGGGCCACGGTGCCCCCACTTCCTGATGGCACCCCGGCACCAGGGACAGCGGCAGAGGTGGCTGCGGCAGTAGTGACAGTGGTGGTGGCAGAGGCCCGGCCTTCCCGGAGGAGTTCAGTGCACTTGTCCACAATGTGCCACATCTGGAGCACGGACCCCACTGTGAGGAAGTTGACAATGTCAGCAGCGGCCATGCTCAGGCGGCCAGTGTAAGCGGAGGCCAGGACAGTTTCAAAGGCGCCTGGGTCCATGACGCTGGGCAGCGAGATGGAGGTCATGCCCTTGAGCAAGACCTGGTCATGGAAGTAAGGGGAGGAGGCAGCCAGAACAGCACGATGAGCCCGGAACTCCCGGCCTTGCACTCGGATGGACACATCACAGAGCTGGCCCTGCAGCCGCTGCTGATTGAGGGACTCCAGGAGGGCACTGGTCACCTCAGGGAAGGACACATGTACCACTGCAGCAGCTGGCAGGGGCAGTGGGGGTGGAGCTAGCGACAGAGGCAGGGGGAGTGCTGCCCCACCAGGAGACAGAGGAGATGGCTCCATGTTGTGGAGGGAGGGGATACCCCCCCCGCCACCGGGACAAATGGAGTGGGGGTCCCCCCCCCCAGCCACAGGAACAAAAGAAGGAGGGCGGCCGGGGGGGTCTCTGGGAAGAAAAAGAGAGAAGGACAATAAAAATATCTCACAATGACACAGCCGAAGATCACACCTATCATCTGAGATTCCCCATGACAACACTGGGAGGTAGGTATTTTCTCAGCCCCATTTGACAAATAAAGAAACTGAGGCTCAGAAAGATTAAGACATTAGTCAGGTCGCAGAGTCAGTAAGTGACAGTACCAGCAAATGCAGATGTCCTGACTCCAAATCCACTGTGCTTTCTTTGAAAGTTAGGAAAATAAGGTACTCTTCTTTTTTGAGAGGTTTTTGCTAAAGGGTGGTGTGCTCACCCGAGAGACAGAGACAGAAAGCAAGAAATCACCCCCACCCCAGAGGAGATGGCTATGCCACAATCCCTTTTCCTCCATTCTCCTCTAGGGATTTTGGGCACGCATGTACACACACCCGGCGTGTTTTACGCCACCGGTTTGGGATTTAAATCATGGTCGACATAATCACTAGGCCCTCTGCTGGTCCCGTAAGGGCTCTTAAGGAGTAGGGTGTTGTCCCTCGGAATTACACCTTATTGCCCATTTGCCAGGGAGCCCAACTTTTCAAAACCCATCTTTTCGTTTTCCATCCTTTTCTTTGGAGTGGGGCAGGTCTGCTCCTCTACTGAAAACCACCCCTTGCTCCAGTCTCCTTAGGTTATGTCCCCTCTGGCTCCCTCGTCGACCACGCCCCTTTCGCCTCCAGCTCACATGACCACGCCCCCTCGAGACCCGCCCCCCGTGCTCCGCCCCCTCGGCCCTTTCGGCCCGCCC